AATTCATATGAATCAAATGGAAACAAAGAGAAACAAAGGTACATGTCAGTCCTTCTGTTTGTCTGTTCATAATCTTTCTACGTTTTTTCTGCAAATCGTGCGCTCGATCAGAACGTACAGTAATTATTGCCTCGATTGCTGCCGTTCAGTACTTGCGTTTCTACTCGCGGTGATGGTAGTCTTTGCGGTACGAACGACCATAGTGACGTGGATAACGGTGGTGGTGCTCTTGGCGTTTGCGGGGAAGCGCCGCCGGGTGTTGGTTAGAGAAGGGAGAGTGATCACGTGTGACGTGGCAATGTATTTGGTGGAGGTTGTGCTTAAAGAGAAAAGCCTTGTGGCTTTTGTGTGTGCCACTATTGTTAGCTTATTTGCAATGGCTTGGCTAAGAATAGCCAATCATATTTCGATGTAAATTTTTATTTTATTTTTTGTTGTTTTTTGAGCTTTTTATATATAGGAGGGGTATTTTTTCTTCACCCTTTTTTTAAATTTGTATATATAGTTTAGGAATAATTTCAGTTTTCATTTTTGTAAAGCTAAATGATATTAGAGAATGTGTCGAACTTAGGAAAAGGAAAGAACAATAATATTCCGATTTCGATCTGAAAATTTTCATTTTGGAATAGTATTTTTCATTTTGAATTTTGTAAGTTCCGATTTTCGATTTTTCAGATTTCTGCTTGGAATATACATATTAGATTTCGATTTTCGATCCAATTTTCATATATGAAAATATTTTTGAAAATTTTGATTATTTTCTAAATATTATAATGTGTTTTTTTTATTATAGGTGACTGTAAATGGAATTTTCGAATTATATCGATACCGATTGGAAAAAGTTCTGTTTGGAACAAGATTCTTAACACCAATTTCCAATTTTTTTTAAAACGTAATTTGGATTATTTTTTCCCTTACAAGATTTTTTTTTTTCATTTATTTTACCATAATTGCTATCGACGAACAAATCTGTCCGATTTATACCCTAGTGTAAAGTGTCCACCAATAATTGCTTATTAATTTCTTTTGTGACAACAGTTATTTCATTAAAATTAACTATGGCCACACCAATTAATAAAAACTTCATTTTTGGTACCTTTGTTTTTCGAATCATTTAATCAGGATTTTTATTATTTCAATCAAAACTTTCCTTTTTGCTTGTACATAGTTAACTATTTGCTTTAATTATCTCCGCCAATCAATCGAGGAATTTACAAATACAAAACATACATTTTTTTTACAATATTAATTAAAAAATATACAACAAGGAGCAATTACAGATAAATCCCCAATTAAAACTTAGAAGCGCGGTTCAGTCCCTACATTGTTTAGATAGATGGGTCCAGTCCCTAAGGCCTAAAGCAACCAAACAAAATACATGTCATCTCAAATGGGCCCATCTGTAAGCCCAATAATGTTGTACCGGGCCTACCGGCCTGCTACTTTTGGTAATTCTTTACAATGGCCCAACTAAGAGTGAAAATCGGACATTATTCGATCATAATTATGCCTCGTTTGGCTGGGTAGATTAGCCAGTATAAACTAAATAATCGGACTTTATTTGATGTCTAATAACTCCAATAACTTACCGTATTCGACCCGCAAATATTTTGTTATCATAAATTATCTTGCCTTTTAGGAACCATTTCTATTGGACGTTCTAGAGTTCGATAAAGTAATTGAGTTTTTATTAGAGTATTTAATCTTATATTGACAACTAAACGAGACCTTAACAATTTAAGAAAATTTTAATCTTCCATAAGTAAAAATCAAAATCCAATTCGTTCCTTATTAAAAAAAAAAAAGAAATTCCAACCACTTCGATTTTTGTTGTCAAAGAATTGGGATTTCGTAAAATGTAATAAAAGTTAAAATTCAAAAACCGAAAAATTTAAATAATGATCGGCGGGATTCAATTTTATTTTCATCTATAATATAAAAGGGGTCTTAAAATTTAAGTCCCTGGTGATAAAACTAATTAGAACTAAATGACAAGTCCAATTAAACCTTTACTTCACATCCTTTATAAAATTCATTCAAAAAATGCCCCTCTTCTCATAAATTCAAAATTTGCATTAAGTAAAATTCGAACTGCATTTATCATTTTTATTATGCATTTTATATCTTATTTTTTTCATGTAACATATTTTATTTTATTTTTGCACATATTGTCATCTTTGTTTTTTCGTTTTTCACTCAATTTTTTTAATTATTTAAACAGCTTATATGTTTTTCTTATTTTTAATATTTTATTGAAAATTACGAAAAAAAATTCTTTTTGTTTTTGTTAAATAATACATCAGATTTTAAAAATACAATGGTATACTATGGTATACTCTGGATTTTAAAAATACAGTGGTATACAGTGGTATACTGTGGTATACTATGGTGTCAGATGATGTACTACGATATACTATGGTGTACTATACTGAACCCTACCGCCAACAACTCCCGGCCGTCGCCAACCCTAGCATCTAGTGCGGCCGCCGCCAAACCCTAGTCGCAGCCGCCGCATCTATACTCACCTACTACCTTTGGGAAACCCTAGATTTGCTATTTTGAACCCAAACCAAGCAAAATCTTTTTTAAAAAATAAGAAAATCAGATTCAATTAGTCGAACATATGGTTTCAACGACATAACCACAGCCCCCCGGCACCGCACAACCACTGTTGTCGCCACCTGCCGCCGCCCTCTCCACCACGAGTCCACTCGCCATCGCCGGCCTTCTTCGCTACTGGAGAAAACAAGAAGAGAAGATGGGAAACCCTATATCTGCTATTTTGAACCCAAACCAAGCAAACATAACCACAGCCCTCCGCACCGCACAACCACCGCCGCGGCCCTCTCCACCACGACTCCACCTGTCATCGTCGTCCTTCGTTGATACTGGAGAAAACAAGGAAGAGGTAGATGGTTGAGAGAGAAAGAGAAAAAAAAAAAGAGAAAGAGATACAGTGAGAAAACGTGAGGGAGAGAGAGATGGATAGTTAGAGAACGTGGGAGAGAAATGAAAAATAAAGAGAAATAAATCTGAAATTGAAGAAGCGTGAATGCATATGTTAGATAATTTAGGTATAAGGGCACTATAGAAATAAATAAAAAATTAGGGATGTCGCTCATATATTAATTCAAATGATTTAATTAAAAAAATTGAATTTACACTTATCATTTAGTTCAAATTAAGTTTCATTTGAGGGGCTCCTAGCATATTACCCCTAATATAAAATATATAATAATATTGATATTACAAATGCAATTTTTTGATTTTTTTTAGGTTTTGCAAATTAAAATCGACATGAAAATCAAAATCTCTTAACTTATATTTACTTTTCAAAATATCTAAAAAACATTTTATTAATAAATAAAATAAAATGGAATAAAAATATATGGAAATTTTATTGCAATTAGAGCCCCAGTAATTACTTAGAGCGGCCCAACAGTTCAGAGATTATAGCTAACTAATCCAACTTCACAAACACGGCTCCACGTCATCCTTCTTAACCAATAGGAAAACTTCAATGCTAGACCCCACATTACTTACCGTGAACCATCAAGCACACGATTATTTGATTTCGATAAACTCAAAGACTTTTGGGTTTCCTTTAGCAGCAAGAAAGAAAACGAAACAGTAAAAGATAAATAAAATAAAATAAAAAATAAAATAAAATAAAAGGAGAAAAATAGACCAACCCTTCATATATACAAAGTTTTCCCCTACATATAAACATATCTCTGTATCTATTCTTCGTCTTTGTTATCTAGAGAGAGAGAATCAGTGAGAGAAGTGGTACGCGGCTGACGGATACGCGTGGACCGCCGTGAAATCAATTTCCGATTTCCGTTTATTAATCGTAATCGGTGTCGAATTCCGATTCTTCGTTCATATCGCTTTTTTTTTTTTGGTTTCTGTAAATTTTTCTACTATAATTTAGGGTTTGGGGGTGTAAAGGGGATTTTGTTTGCGGCTTACCTGGAACGCGATTTGGAGTTTTGATTTGCTGTAGCTATGGAGGCTTCTTCTAGTGTGGTGATCAAGGTTGTTTTTTTATTTATTTAATTATTGTTATCTTTAATTTCGTTGATTTTGTGCTGTAATATCTTATCTGATTTTGCCGTTTGGGTTGTGTTAGCTATTGTTTCGTGAAGATTCGATTTTTATGTACTCTTGATTTTTTTATGGGATTGTTGTGATATGATGAGTGATTTTGTTTCTGTTTTTTCTTTTCATATGTTCTAGTGATGAAATTCTGTAGATAATCGTAATTGTTTGTTGATTTTGGTTGTGAATTTGATCTTATTTGTCAGATTACCTACGCTAATTTTTATGAACAAATATTCATTGCAAAGTGGGTTGACTGATCTTGTTTTGGGTGGGGTTAGGGTAAAGAGTACTTAATAATTTTCAAAATGTGGTTCATATTTTATTTATGATTTGATGATAAGCAGTAGACCAGGATTTTGTCTTCTGAACCTTTGTTTTATGCTATTAGCATCTGTTCACTTTCTTGAATTCTCGCCTTTTATCTATCTGCAGCTTTCTTCTTAATTGTTTTTTTAACATTTCTGCAGGTCAAGTATGGTGATATGCTTAGGCGTTTTAACGCTCAGATAGTTGGTGAGCAACTGAGTTTCAGAATGGATGGACTGAGAGAGAAGATCCTTAACCTCTTCAGCTTTAATCCTGATACTGAACTGGTGCTTACTTACATCGATGAAGACGATGATGTGGTGACCCTTGTTGACGATGACGATCTTTCGGACGTGGTCAAGCAAGGGCTTGACCCGTTGAGAGTAACTGTTAAGGTGAAAGGTGCAAATACCGGAAAACATGACACTCGTTCAAGTGCTAGTGCTAGTTCGACTCCTTTGAGATCACCTAGAGTGCAACAACCACTCGAAAATTTGAACACTGGTGTCGCAGAAATTCTGAAAACGGTACCAGAGCCGCTTCGTGACACGCTCATGAAACTCTCTGCTGACCTGGCATCTAAAGCATCTTCCTCTGCGCCTAGTATAACGGAGCTTGTTGACCAATTCTCGAAAGTGGGGTTGTCCTTCTTGGGTCAGCTCACAGAGTCGTCACAACCTGGAGTGAAGACTGCTGCAACGGAAACCAATGGCTCGGAAGTTTTGAAGGTTGACTCCGACGGTGCAGTAAAAGATGCAACAAATGAGGCGACCCAGAAAAACAATGAGGTGAAAATTCAGAATGTGCCTGGAGAAAGCATGGAGGGTTCATCTTCTGGTTTTATCAAGGTTGTCCAGCCTGGCAATGATTCTTTGCCGAACTTTGCGCCGGTGAGTACTCAGAACGTCAAATGTGTTGGCAAGAAAGAAAATTTCAAGAAGGTAATTAGCATGAGGAAGTCTCATCTGACAAGTCAACTGCCGCCACCTTCTGCGAATAACGCCGGAAAGGAGATGAGTAATCCCAGTGAGCCTAAAATTGGACCAAAACCCGCAACTGTTGGTGCTTCTCCTTGGACACCGTTTCCAGGTCTTAATACTACAGACCCGTTTTTCGGTGGCATGCCGCCTGTGTATGATTGCCCCTTTTCTGGAGCACCTTTTGGAAATATGCCACCACCTCCGGCACATTCTTCTTCTACGGTAAGGAGTTCAAGTCAAAATGATGGCATTGGTAATGTATTCCACCGTGGTGTTCGTTGCGATGGTTGTGGTGTCCATCCTATTACTGGTCCTAGATTCAAGTCAAGAGTGTAAGAATCAAGTGAAATTTGTTATTTTTGTTAAGGATAACTGTCTAAGTATGTGTAGATACTAACTAGTTAACCCCGAACCCCGTTGCAGGAAGGTGAACTACGATCTTTGCTGCATTTGCTTTGAAGAAATGGGTAATCACAGTGATTATATAAGAATGGATCGCCCTGCTGTTTATCGACACCATATGCCTTTTAAGGGTCTGCATGATTCTGTACGTATATAATTCACCTATTTTTGTTTCTATAGCTGTAGTTTAACAAATTTTTTACTCAAGTCTGAGCCGTGTTCATGTCTCGTCCAATGTCAGAGGACGAACGACTGGAATCCAACCTCGCCGCAGGTTTACAAGGGTTTTAAGGTTAAACCCACTGCAGTCAAGCTCGACAGCCGCTTCATTCTCGATGTGAATATATTTGATGGTACTGTTATGGCACCTTTAAGTCCATTCACCAAGATATGGCGGATGAGGAACAATGGTACGACCGTGTGGCCCCAGAAAACACAACTTGTTTGGATCGGGGGTGATAAATTGAGCAATGAGATTTCTGTTGAAGTACAGGTGAGTGGTCTTTATTGGCGTTATTTCTATATTATTTCTAATGTACCTAACTGTGTACTAGTCTGATTCTGCTTCCAATGAATTTGACAAGTTAGGTTTTTTATGCATAATATCATTCTTTTTTCACGCGGGTAATTTTTTTCCTTGTTTACTTTATTCGTTTGATGATTAGTGTTGTCTGAATGGTTCTTCTTTTGGCAGATTCCTGAAGCTGGTTTGATGATGGATCAGGAGCTTGATGTTGCTGTTGATTTCATTGCCCCAGAGCTTCCAGGTCGATACGTCTCTTACTGGAGAATGTCCTCACCATCTGGACAGAAGTTTGGTCAGCGTGTTTGGGTTCTCATCCAGGTTGGCCATTGTGATGTCATCATAACCGATTTTTTATTATTTAGTTTTTATTTTTAAATGTTTATGTTGTATACACGTGATATATTGATATGATTAAAAATCATCGAGATATATAGTTCTTTGAATTTACATGTCGCGATTTGCTGCGGAGTAAAAAAAATCCCGATAAGGCTATGGAAATAAATATTCTTGAATTTATTGCTACTTCACTGTTTGTTCTTGGTTCGTCCGTCTTTCAATTGTAGTGGCTTCCTGACATTGGTTCGTTTGTGTTCTTCACCCAGGTCGATACTTCTCTTGCCGAGACACCACGTGGAAGTGTTAGGAACTTAAACCTCAACTTACCCCCAACAGGTCCCGAAATGATCAATGTTAATCCAGAACCGACCATCGAAGACAACAACCCCGAAAATGAGAACTCGAAAAAGATTGTGGAATTGGTCCAACCCAACACCGAGCAGGACCTGAAATTCCCCATCAATGACAGCTTGTTTGTGGGCAATGGAGCTTCAACTTCTTCTACACCCTCTTCCTCTTCTTCTCCTCCACCGCCAACAGTCTCGTATCCCATCATCGATCTGTCTGACGTGGCACCGCGTCTCCCTTCCGTACCTTCGCCTATGCTCTATCCACCACCACCAGCACCGCCTGCAGGTGCACAGCAAGCCGAGGAAAACGAAGTAGAGCAGAAACTTCTAAGGGAACTCGAGGAGATGGGTTTCAAAGAGGTTGACCTAAACATTGAGGTGCTGAGGATGCACGAGTATGACCTGGAGCAAGCTGTCGACGACCTGTGTGGCGTTGCTGAGTGGGACCCTATTCTCGAGGAGCTCCAGGAGATGGTGAGTCGAATTATAATTATCTTTTTTTTGTTGATTTTTGTTTTTTGCTTTGCCGTTATTGTAATTATTTTCGTTACGTTTTATTTTTTTTGGATGCAGGGTTTTGGTGACACTGTTATGAACAAGATGCTGCTGAAGAAGAACAATGGGAGTATTAAGCGCGTGGTGATGGATCTTATTGCTGGAGAGAATAATTAGTATATATATAGAGACATCCTTTTGTGTATATATATGATCTGCTATAAATAAGTGCCGGGACTTGATAGTAACTTGTCCTTGTGCACCCAGTTTCAGTTGGGATTTCGTTATTTTTCTTTTTTGGCTTTAGTATTCGACTCTATGCTTTGCTGAACTTGTTATGGCTTTCGGTTTAAATGATATTAAGTGGTTTTTAATATAAGGTTTCTGGAGTTTTACGTTTGTTTTTGTGTCTTGTTATCGTCGTAAATTTTGTGATACTTTGATTTGTCGATTTCTTTTGTAACGACTACGGTTAGAAGATTGGTCAATAACAATCAATATTTTCAATACACCGGGACTAAGATGTATTTTACTAGGTGTAACGATTAACTACGATAGTCGACTGAGTTATATTATCAAAAGGTTTAATGATTGTCGAATAAAGCAACAATTCCAATCTTTAATAATTTGTTGGATACTATATTCTGAACTTAGAGCCCGTTTGGCCCGGCTTGTTTGGCCTGGCTTATTGTACTTGGTTGATAAACTCTTATGTTTGATAAGTTGTTTTAAGAACTAATAAGTTTTAAACTGATTGGATAATGAGCTTATAAGTTAGTTTTACTTATTATAAGATTTTAAATAAAATAGTGAAGTAGATGTACTTTTTAAAAGAAATCTTATTTGTTCCCAAGAGCTTATTTTTTGAATTTATAAAATTAAAAAAAAAATATACCAAACACTTTGAAAGAGCTTATAAGCTCTTAAATATCCTATAAACATAACTTATAAGCGTTAAAAAATCTTATTTGTTCCCAAGAGCTTATTTTTTGAATTTATAAAATTAATACCAAACACTTTGAAAGAGCTTATAAGCTCTTAAATATCCTATAAACATAACTTATAAGCGTAACCAAACACCCTCTTAATCAAATAACACCTCACAATTAATGTCACTTCCCATCCAACTATGCTTGATAGTTGATACTATATCTCAAATGAATAATTCCCCAAAAAAGCTAATTTTTAACAAATCAAAGAGCAGGTAAGTATCAGATTCGTGCATGACCAAAAAGAACCATCTCAAAACTCATTCATCTTTTTCGCAAAAAAATCGTCCTCTATAAAATTCTACAACCTCACAACATATTTCCACACACACACACACAAAAAATAAAAAAAAAATCAGGGGTTAAGTTGAGGGCGAAAATCGATGCACAGAAGCTACGAGTACCGCAGAAGCAGCAGCTACGAGTACAACAGCAGCAGCAGCAGCAGCTATTACAATGTTAGTTCCTATTCCCCCATAGACGAGCACCACGAGAACATAGCACGAATGCAGAAATTACTTCCTACGATGCTGGCGCCTCAATTTCCTCGATTCTTGAATTTCGATGAAGTTCCAGGTGGCAGTAACTACGCGTATGCAGCGGAAGATAAGGATCGTCGGAGGAATGTTCCAAATACGAATCGTTCGAAAAAGACGTCATATGCGAATAATCATCAGAAGCAGCATCGAGTCCCTGATCAGAAAGTTCAGTTCATCGTTAATGAGAAGAAACCGGATGAAGATAGAAACGTTGATATGGAAGCTGATCGGTTCATTCAGCAGAAGCGCAAGAATTTCGACTTCTGCAAATAACAGGGATAACTTCAGTTGAGTATTAAGGTTTTTGTGTCTGTATGTACTAATGTTTTGTGCCGTGCTGATGTGTACATAAATAACAAAGCTTGTCTTTTGCGCGCGCGCACACATATATATATGCATTTAAATCTCTATAAATTAATACATTTGGGACTGACAAAATTCTATTAATTTAACAAAATATTAAATTATCGAACTAATAATTTAATACATTTTCACCAAGTTGGGATCGGAAGTAACTTATTTAAGCGAGGTTATTAATTTATTTAGGTTGTATATATACATATAGGTTGTCAAATAAACACTTCAAATACTCGAAAAATAACAATTGTCTATATACAACACGCAGTTTTTCGGAAGGGATGGGGGGCCATGGCCCCCTGTAGCCCTATGCTGGCTCCGCCACCACACTTGAGTATCCATGATCCTGTTGAAGCATGAGATTCTTTACACATTAATGTATGTATTCGACGTTGTCCCACATAAAACAATAAAATTCCTCGTATATGCCAAAAGTCAAAGTTCCGTATTGACCAATCCACATAAGAAAAGGGAATCTAATGCTCAATAATGTGGCTAATAAACTATCTAAGACCTCTGTGAAGCTGCCTGCATATGTTCCTTATTACCTTAAAAATTACAATCAGTGGCAGTTAGCATTCCGGTTGAGCTTTGATCGAGCTCAAATAGATTTATTTTTTTGTTACATTATTTTTTTCCTAATTAAGATAATCAACATAAACTAGTTACTCGCGTAAATTACAAAGCGGGACAAGATTAATTTGTTTCAATTTTTACAAATTGTACTTCTAACTGAAAAAAAAATGTTTAAACTGTAAAATTAGATCAAACACGAATGTATTAATAAGTATATTTCACTCTTAAATATAATTAAAATTAAATGACTAACCTTGTGAAGGATCAACATTATGGTAGAGTCACGACTTGATGTTCCGATCATCCCATGAAGAACGGACAAAAAGATCCAATGAATGTTTATCTTCAACATATTTGTCGTCCCGATCGTGTTTTAACTTGTTCGCACAATTCACAGCCATAGGGCTGCAGTCGACTACATTAATAATTTGAAGAGACGTACCGAATGTGAGAGGAATCTCTTTTAACTTGTAGCAATGTACGATGCGAAGAAGCTTAATAGCAGGGATGCATTCGTCGTTTTGAAACGTCCATTGTTCCAGATCAGTGTCTTCAATTTGAAGGTTTAAAAGCTTTGGGAATTCGTTGTCACGAACCTCCCACTTTGGGCCTCGAAAGGCGTAGCATTTCAATACCAGATGTCTAAGATTCGGCAACGAAGAAATCTTTCTCATTTCCTCCCACGGATATCCTAAGCCGGTCAAACCTAACATTGTAAGACTCGATGGGAAGTTAGAAAGAGGAGCAATTGGGGTAACAACCTCTGTGTTCAATATAGGATTCACAACGTCGCATTCTAGTACTTCTAGTTCATGGAGATGGGAAATGTGATCGAAGCAGCTCAAGGGATGTGTAGAATCGGGAGCCAGTTCGATATTAATTAATAACACCTTCAGATTAGGGATTTTTTCAAGCACGTCTTTGGTACAACTTTGAGGGCCGACACCGCCTAGTTTTAAGAGGTTTGGTAGGAGAGACCCGTCACGACAAGGATGCGGTAGGTCTCTTCCCTTGATCTGAAGATCCTTCAATTCTTTCATATTCCATATTTCAACAGGAAGATACGACAAATTCCCAACAGATTGTATGATTCTTAGATGTCGATGAATAATCAAGTGCTGAAGGTTCAAGAGTTTGAAAATGGAAGGAGGGAGGTTTCTATCATAAACGAGGGCAAGGCATCTTAGTTGGACTAGTTTCACCACTTCCATTGGGAACTCGTAGAATCTAACAGAAAGAGCGTGCAACACCCTGAGCAACCTTAAATGTTCCAAACACAAGGGCACTGGATATTCATGGAAATAACCTGTACAAAGGAGAGAGCGCACCGTTGAAGCAGATGCAATAGCGCTGTGCACATCTTCGATGGCGAGTAGAACATTATTTCGTATGCACAATCTGCGCTTGCTTTCTATACCTTCTTCTAGTAAAGCATCGGAACGATAGTTTAAGGCATAGAACAACTTGTTCTTGTCAGCTTCTATGTTACACAAATGCCAAAAGGATGAATGAAGTCGATAACAGAATACTTCTATCTTGTACATGATAACATTATTGGAATAAAGCTCATACAAATAAGCATGGGTACGATTTGTGGAAGTCATGGCCGTTTCCGAGTAATGCATTGATTTTGAGTTAAGAAATCCTTCAGCACTCCACACGTTGCTCAGTTGGGATCCATATACCCAATTATTTTGTGCGAAAGCTCCTAAGTAGAGAAAGCATGCTTTTAAATGTTGATCTAAGTAGTCGTAGCTTGGATATAGTACCTTTGACATTTGATCGTACGCATCCCTGTAAACCCAATTTTGTTTCTCGTCAGCTACTGTGTTCCAGAACGCTAGCGTCTTGTCAGCTTTGGAAAGGATGTTGGCAACCGTAACTATTGTAAGTGGAAGACCTTCACAGTTCTCTGCAATCTTCTTTCCGGGTTTCTCGAGTTCATGAGGGCAAGGCATTGCATCAAACACCTTGTGACGAAGAAGTTCCCAACTTTCTTTCTTATCTAGGAAGGGTACTCTGTAAGTACTCAAAGGGTGGGCGCATTCAGCTACTTCATTTAGCCTAGTTGTCAGTAATACCCGACTTCCATTTTTGTCGTCCGGAAATACCTTCATGAGTTCATAACATATCTCCTTTTCCCACACATCATCCAACACGATCAAGTGACTCAAATACTTTAAACTTTTGTGAACCATCCTTTTCAGTCCAGCTAATACTTTTTCTCCTTTCATAAGCATTATTTCATCAATGTCGGGATTCACTTGTGTTAGAACCTCCACCAAGATATCCGCTAGTCGATATTTAGGGCCTATGGTCACGAACACGAGCCTGCTATAACGACTCACAATGAATGGATCTCGAAAGAGTTTCTTGGCAAGAGTAGTCTTACCAATGCCCGCCATTCCATCGAGCGAGACGATCAACCTTTCAGATTGTGACGAATAAAGCCGATTTTTTATTTTCATAAAAAGATCAGATAATCCAACCATGTTAGACTCATTATTTCCATAAAAATAAGTTCTTGACGGCACAAACTCATCATCATCTTGTTCTTCTTCAGGTGAGGGATTGTGTAACTCATGAATGTAGGCCCTCTTCATCTTGTTCATCGTTTCGATAAAGGAATCGACATCTTGCTTTATTTCCTGCACATCTACTGAAAACACCATTAATGGAGGATGATCGGTCTCTTCGTCAGATTGTAGTGAATGGAACTGATTTAAGAGATGAGGGTCGATTACATCTTCGAATTTGTATACTGCATCTACAATTTCCGCCTCCAAAGTTTTCACCATCTTAATGTTAATGGTGCTCCTCTTTTCATTGACTTCTGCCAGAGCTTCTTTTAAGGAAATAATCTCATCGTACAGAAGTTTGATGATTTGTGGGGATGAATTTTGAACAATCGAAATATGTGAAGAATTTAAAAGGCGGCCAATTGTCAGCTCAAGACAACCAATAGCACCATAAGCCATCTTTGAATGCTCTCTCTCTCTCTCTCTCTCTCTCTCTCTCTCTCTCTCTCTCTCTCTCTCTCTCTTCTCTCTCTCTCTCTCTAAGATCTCACACTCTTCTCCATAGGCATTTGTTATATCTGAAATTATTATTGCTCAGCCAAGATCATTAATGGGAGATTGGAGAATTAGCTAAGGGAAGAAGAAGATCACTTTACAACTCAAAAGTTATTTAACAAGAGATTCACAGCTTTTCATCCATTATATTATATATATTATATATATGTGCATAGTGGATACCATTACGTTTTGTCATCACTTTTCAAAATATCTAAGGTCCAACTTATGCTTTTTCCTCTCCTCTTTTTTTACTCACTAATCAAGGCCAATTAAGTAATATATGTTAACTGGTTATTATTTGATTAATGGGTTTATTAGGGAAAACCCCCTTGTTCATATTTTCTAATGAGGTAGATCCAATTTTTTTTCCCCTTTTTGAGATACACCCAATTTTGCCAACTTGGCAAAATATATTATATAATTTCCCTTTAATACCCCTGTTTTATTATTAAACGGCATTTATTTCCTTTAATACGTGATTTGAGATTTGCTGATACGTTGCCTAAAATCACGGAATAAATTTACGTGAGATCATTGGCCGTTATATCAAATCGTGTACAATATTTTTTGAAGATTCTCTTCATCGTTCCAGCGGGTTTTATCGTCATTGAAGATTTCTGCACCGTCGGGAAATAGGATCGATTTTTGAGCCGTTGTTGTTGGACGTTGTTAAACGGGTATGAATG